TAACTAAGAAAGCCTCGTGGATAGAAGCCGTTACCTCTGGCATCGCCTCCTCTGACGCTGAGAAGAAGTAAGTGTAGACGATGAGCTCGGACGCCACGTCGTTGTACTTCTCCTGCAGAAAGAAAGAAAAACAACTTTAAGAGCTGAGTCTGCATCACACAACCAAGTTACCGCCACCGTGTAGTCAATTATTCAATACAGTCCGACAGGAAGGAAGTGTGTTTACCTTGAGAGGAGATTCTCCGCCGACGTAGATGAAGAGCACGTCGTGTCTTTTCATCATGTGCTCAAACATCTGTTTGCTGGGAAGAGCTCGAACAGCAGGTCTACAGATGGACAAAAATGGATTAAAAAAAATCAAATCAATAGTAAAAAAGAACTCCATATAAACTAACAAACTGATATGACGCCGGCTGTTTTTCATTTGTGAGCCGTTGGCACCATCTAGTGGTGACTCAATGATCTATATTTTTGGCCGGAAATTAGTCCTGTCGTGGTTCTAAGCCAGATTTCCCTCAAGGAAAAGAAAAATAAACTGAAGCTCCATAAACTAAAATAAACTGAGCTTCAAAAACAAACACATACATCTGTTTTCTCCAAATGTTTCAGTGCAACATTTTCCTTTAAAAAATACGATGTAAAAGCCTTTACTCTCATATAAAGACAGAGAAAAAGGTGCAATAAAAAATGAGCTTAAAATAAAAAAGGTCCCTTTAACGTCGTCCTGTTGGTTGACGACTGTGACTCACCCAGACACCCTGTTTGCAAACTCCACAATGTCATCTTTTGTCCTCGGTCCCTTGTAGTTATAGGCCAGCTCGCCCTTGAGCCTGAGACAGAAAATAAAATCAATGAAAAACCGGTAATAAAAAAACAAAAAGCAACAGACAACATTGACAATTTCTATCTTCTCAAATTTGCATTTTTTTAAAGAAATATAAAGAAATAAATTGATAAATAAAAAAACCCTTTTCTTAGGTACACCTTTCTAACACTGTCTTGGGTCATGTGATCCGGCTTCATCAAGGAAATGGAATCATTCCTTGGAGATTGCGGCCCATTTGTCCTGCAGCTCCACTTTACTCTTGCTTCACTTCAATCTTCTCTGCAGGATTCCAACCCAGTCACTTACACTGTGACTGCATTTTAAAGTGCACTCAAGTAGTATCACGCCAAGAAAAATATTCAACCGCCAACCACAGGCAGCCTGAAAGGCCGGTTGGCTCTGTGGATACAGATGTAATTATCCTGTTACAGTAAAAAGGAAAGAAAAAAAAACTCACGTCAAACCTCTTACACCTGCCTGTGACCACTGCAGAGTGGCGGATGTTATTGGACGTTCATCAACAAAGCAATTAAAGTCAGCGTGATGCTACTCCATGACTGACCACCAGAGGAGCTGTTTCATAAAACACCTGAAGACCAGCCTGAGCCCTGGATACACTGAAGTCTATTCTCTTTTGTTTTTTTGTATTTAGTTTTATTGATATATTGTCATCAGTTTTAAGTGTATCAAAAACGTATCAGCGACAGTACACAAACAAAAATACTTGTACTCATAGTAGTAAAAAATGTTATCGCAACAAATACTGATTCTCAAAGAGGCTGCTGTTAAAAAAAAAGACAATGACAAATCTAAACATTGTTTGAATTAATGACTTGTCCGAGTTGCAGCTCTCCTGTGTCCGAGTTGCAGCTCCCCTTCAGTCCGTTAAACAAACTCATCTCTTATGAGTGTTGGAACCACGGGCTGTGTTTTCCAAGACGTTCAGTTGCTGAAACAGCAAATTTAATCAAAACAACAGATAAATAAATAAATCTCTGTCACCGTGAAGGTCGAGTTGATCCGAAACGTGACGCCTCGCGCTCAGAAATAATGACTTTCTCTAAGTGAGCTGCAGCCGAGGGAGGAGCGACCCAGGTGGAGTTCCTGCATCAGGCAGAACCCATACAGGATTACAAAGGTTGCATCAGCCCACGGGGTTTTCACGAACTCTGGGGGAACTCTAAATCAAGTCCGCCTCTGTCACCGGGGGAGCCATCGCGTGTTCTCCGATGGATGTTTCATCACTCGCTCGGTTTAATGTGATGAACCCTGCAGTGATCCTGTGGCAGTTTCCCCAAATGAACGCAGTGAAAACTAAATGGACAGAACATCACGGCAGCATGAAGACAAATGACCGGGCTGAAAGTGTGTGGAGGAAACTCAGAGAGAGTCTCGGTGAGAGTGTGTGATTGTACGGATGTGTGTCTGCATGTGTGTCGGTGTGTCTACGGTGGTCCCTGGTCTTTCACGAGGGTTACGTTCCAAGGCTTTACGACCTTTACGAACCCTTTAGGAGGCATCGTAGCGAAACTTTCAAAAATCTAATTCTAATTTTTTTCTTACGAAAATAATGAAAATATTGGAAATTTAAAACATTTTATAAACTGCAAATTTTTCCTACATTTAAAATATTAAAAACCCATGATGTACGGAGGGCACGTATAAGTGTATTTGTGCATTTGTGTTTGTGTTTTTCATGGGACTCAGTATGTGCATTATGGTGTATTTTTGTGTACTGTGTGAGTGAGTGTACTGTATGTACCCATGTCTATGTATCTGCATATTTGTTTGTGTATTTACATGTGTGTGTGTCATCTCAAATTAATGTTGGACGGATGTGTGTGTATGTTGGTGTTGTGTGTATGTGTACATGTGTGTATTTGTGGTTTTATATGTATCTGCATATTTGTGTGTGTCATCTCAAATTAATGTTGGCCTCGGGGCTTCATTACTGATCTCTACATGGAGGCTGTGAGTTATGAAAATGACGACTTCTGTAACAACATTTAAAGTCCGTCGACGATGAACTCCAGAAAATGAACTCACACACAGAGTTGATAAACTGAAGTCAAAGTCAAAGGATCCACTGGTCACAGATCAATGTTACAAAACTGGTCCTGAACAACTTTTGGCCCCACGGTCAGTGGATAATTCAATATCTCCAAAAGTGACAAATTCAATGTAATTGGAGCCCAGAAGGTGTGAACAGTGAGTCTGTGGCTCAGCGGAGCCTCAAGGACACGTTAACAACAACCTGGTCTCCGCTGAGTTCATCTCCACGGACTTAACGTCAGGGGGAAAACACGGAGCAGCGGACGATAACTGGGTCGATAATAACAGAACACAAACTTCAGTAAAGACACCGGAGGGAACAGAGGACGAAGGAGCAGAGTGATGACAGAGGAACTGTGTTGTTTTAGAACGTAAGATACTGGTATAGAAAAATCAAAATACAGCTGTGACAAACACTGAACTGTGTTACATTTATGAGCTGAGAGACTGTACTGAACCAGATCCTGTTTAGTTGTAAATTATTCAAAAAGCCTTTAAATCATGTTTTTTAAATCAGAACTCATTATTGTGAAACGATTCATCTGCCAGGAGGCTGTTCAATTATTCCCCTCATCAGTTTGACAGAGGGATTATCTAGAATCTACTACAATTAAATAAATAAATAATTAAATGCATTTATTAATAATTTTGTGCACAATATTAGACAAAAGCACCACAAAACACAGGGAGGAAGAATTGTTGGTAAAAAAAAAAAGGACACTTACAGTTTTATCGTGGGGTAACCGTGCACTCCGAACTCTGAGGCCATTCCTGTAACACAAAAGAGGATTCATTTATATGAAAGTTAAAAATATATATATATTAATTGATCCTATATTTCCTATGTCATCACATGCAGCTCTTCATTCAGCCTTTCACACTGACCAGAGTAGGCTGTTGCGTCCATTTTTCCCACACGAACCGGCGACCCTGAAGTCTTCAGCTCCGCTCCCACATCATGCCATATCGGCTCCAGTTTTTTACAGTAGCCGCACCACGGTGCGTAGAACTGGAGATGACCGAGAGAAGTAAAAAAACAAAACATTTTCAACATGTGAACAACTCAGAAGAAACTCCTGCGACTGTCATCACACGACAACATCGGAGCAGAGGTTTGACACCACAGACCAGGCTGGGATTAGAACCAGCAACCTTTAGAACCTTTAGTTTGTGTGTGTGACTTACATCAACCAGCCAGATGTCATTTACTCTTGTGTCCTTGAATCTGTCAGGAGAAAAAATAAATTTGAAATACATTGTATATATTTTTTTTTTCCATCATTACAGTTCCTCAATTAATGATTTTGTCAATTAAATGTCAGAAACATTTTTTCAGCTTCAGAAATGCTTGTGATGTTGGGAAATAGCAAAATAAGAAAAAAAAAAAAAACACGATTTAAGGCTCAGAGAATCATCCCAAACAAGACAATTAAAACAACTTTTGTCTCACACTCGGCACAAAGAAGCTGCTAATGATGACCTGAAAACAGAGGCAGCTGCTGCTCGTTAGTTAGTCATCAACTCTCCCTTTTGAAAAAAAAAAAAAGGAACAAAATCCTGAAATACAACAAGACACAATTAAAAGTCCCCACAAACACAAATGCACTCCGGAGACACGATCTCCAGAGAACTTCCTCCACTGGCATCTAATTAAAGGTCACAGAGCAACAGGAGACCCAGGACAAATGACACACAATCTTTTACAGAAATACATTGAGCAGATTTTAGTGCTGTTTGTTCGTTAAAATGTTTTTTTTTTCTTTCTTTACTACATAAAAGCTAAAATCTGGACTTACTCAGATACTTAAACTCTGTGAAATACTCAATCATTTCAAACATATTTATTGAATTTAATTGACCTTAATAATAAAATCTTATCTCAGTTGCCGGTTTATTACATTATAAAACTTCTGTAAAAGTTTAGTCCACTGTTTAATAAACATTGATCAACAAACACCTTATCGTATCTAGTCCGATCTTACCTTTCTCCAATAACTAAGACACGATCTTTAATTTATTTTTTTAACTGTCTTTTACAAAAAAAATGAAATCTACTGTATGTCTAGGTTATATATAAATACTACAATTTTTAGTACAGTTTCTAACCATTTTGTGAATCTGATCGAAAAGGTAATTTTTGTCAAACAAAATAGTTTGACATCTCGATATAAACCGTTCACGGTAAAACGATTTTTTTATATATCGTGTAACGTGATTTAAACCAATAGCACAAATAGCACAGCATGGTTGTGTTTCCCAGTTTTTCATGATGTTGCCTTGCAGTTTTTAATACCATTAATAATATGACATTTATTTTAATTTGTATTTTGGTCGTTCATACATTGGTGGGGCATCACTTACGTATCATCGAGATCCTCCACTAATGCAAGCACCGCTGAGCTGAGTAAGGCGGCTAAGACTGTAAAATAAAATAAAAAGACACAACGTCAGAAAGATGACATACGTGTGATAGTGTAAGAAAAAATATTCTATCGTCAGATTTCTAAAAAATCAGGCGACTGCAGACTGTCAGACCTCATGACTGAAGCATCACCATCAGCAGCAGTTGCTAAAGCTGAGACAGCGGCTAACTGTGAGCATCTGTCCGCACCGCTGTTTCCACAGCAGCGACGGCTTTGAATTCACGTTTTAGAAGATGTCTCGTTATCACACGGCTGCTGGAGTTTAATGCGTAAAGCGTACGGTAAATACAAACCGTTAACTTACCTCCAGAGAGCAACGAAAGTCTGACTTCTGCCATTGCTCCGAGTGGGAACAGCCAAGCAGGAAATGCAAGGGCTCAAAACCGCAGCTCGTGCGCCTGCGCTGAATGACACTGCCTCCCTGGTTACGAAAGAACAAACCGTCGCCGCTGATTGCTCGAGATTTACGTGGCAGCCATATTGGTCCGGGTAAATGCACACGAAAAGTACAACCAAATGAGCCAAGGAGAAGTCATAATTCCAGGTTTTTAAAAAAAACCTACAATGGCATTAGAAGTTCTAATCTTCATTTAGCTCTTTATATTTTTATGGTCTGGTTCCTTCTGCATTTTCATGGAAAAAATGAATAAATATCCCTACCGAAAAGAAACCTGTAACGTTAAATATCCCTACCAAAAAGAAACCTGTAACGTAGGTAACCATTTCTGCCACAAGATGGCACACTTTCCCAAACAATTGGAAAAAGAACAATCCACGAGGAAAATGTAGTAAAAGGTTGTGTAAAAATGTCTACTCAAACTCAAACTACTCAAAATATAGGATTACACTTTTACGCTTACATTTTAATGACGAATCAGCTAATTTTAGCCAGATGGCTATGTAAAATATTTCGTTTTTTAAATGTATCATTTTATGGAAGTTTTATTTCAAAACGCAATTTTAACTTCACAATATTTCTACAATTGCCAGATATATGGAGTGGGCAATACTCGTCTAAAAAATGAAGTAAATATTAGTTATACATCTTAAAGGTTTAAAACGTGTTATAAAGGTTGTAATGTTCGAAATTATCATGTACCACAACAACACTTTTTTTGGAAAACATATTTATTTGTTATTTGTAAGCTTAGAGAATAATAAATTGTATTTTAATACTGCCAATACACTGTACAACATACATATATCATCAAACTGATCTCCAGTTAGTCATCTTGACACCTCGCCACACCCTGACTCTTACATCACACATGCAATTATAAACATACACAGTTGTAAAAAAGAAGAAAAACATGTCTGGTTTGTTTGAGTTAGGCTTGTGCTTACAAAATAAATTAAACAGTTAAAATAAAATAAAAAATTTCAGTCACCACCTTATTTTCCAAATCTCCACTAAAACTGCTGTAAATGATGTAGTACCCTTTTTGTTTTTTATTACTTCACAGAAACAGATCTAAGGTAGTTTTCAGCTCTATAAGAATCCGAGGAGCTCCATGCTTGAACATGTTGTTCTTAGCAACATAATTTGAATAACAATTCCCTGTCTGTTGTTATGGATTTCTTTTTTCAGAACCAATGTTTTCACCCAGGCTTAAAAACTTTTATGTCAAGAGAATATCAATCAAATTTAAATTGTCAGAATAAAAAAAGAACAACTGAAGAGAAGCATGGTGGAGCTCCACACACTGTGAAAGTGCTGTACTTTCTCACGGGGCCTTGAAGGGATCGACACTGTGTTACAAAAGGGACCCATGCAGGGGACGGTCCTGTTGAGGTCCTTCGTGCCAAGACTGTGTGGGGTTGAGGCCTTTGTATCAACAAGTGTAGAAAACAGGACACAAGCTGTGACATCAGCAGGGACATAACTGCTCAAAGGGTGAATATCAATGGAAGTCCATTCTTTTCATGGTCCAAAAAAAGAATTATTTACATCTCAGTTGTCTGTTTTACACAGGATCTTGAAGATTAAAAATATAATCTGGAGAGCCAAAAGTGAATAAAGTACACATTAAAATCTGCTCCTGTTTGTTTTTTGTTTTTGCAATATAAATAGATTTATTTTGTTTCTGTGACTCTGAGAGGTCAAGTCTCAGACTCCCACGTTCACTGCAGTGAAATGTCGGATTCAAACCCACTCATGTTGTCTTATGAACATGACCTGGAGTGACCCATAAAACAAGGCGTCCATTGCCCTTTTTCATCGTGGGTGGAAGGATGAAAGTGTCCTACTAAAAGAAAGTCTCCCTTGGAAAAGATCAAGATTCAAAAATACACACAAATTATTCTCTCAAAAAAATTCTCATTGACTCAACTCTCACCCACGTCCAGGAGGCAGCATTAAGTAGGAGGATAAAAATAAGGAGAGTGGCACTTGTTATTTAGTATACTAAATTGACATTGACATTTAGCTCAGACTTCACCAAATCATCACCAGTGTTGTTTAGTTTCTGTTCTAATTTTTTTTTTTTTCAAATGTCAAAAGAAAACATGTTAATCTACTACTCTACTCTAGTCTGGTCACTCTTCACTGTCAGCAGTTTGGTCCAAGATGTTAGCAACATCCTGAGCAGGCGTGCTAACTGGTCCAACATGACTGGGACTTGTTATGGACCTGGTTCCTGGACTCTGTTGTTCTGATTGATGGTTTTGCCCTAGAATTCCCCATGGTGAAATATCTGTACTGAAGCTGTGAATGGTGCTTGGTGGGTTTGAGAACTGATTCTCAAATGACACTTTGAAAAGAAATTAAACAAAGGTCTTCAAAACAAAAAAAAAAGTACAAAAGTGAAGTTTTGCTACAGATTAAGACCAACAAAAGAGCGCTGGTCAAACTAAGGTCAGTTCAAAGTTAGAGCGACTGATCCAATCAGTCGGACTGAAGCGCCACCGTGTCTCCACACCATCACTTCGGGTCGTCACAGGGTGCGTTGCATTTCTACATCTTCATTAACAACACTGTTTTCATGCTCTCAGTAAGGCTGAGGGTGAGGCACACTGGTGACACTGAGTCGAAAGTTTGTTTGTTTTGTTTTGTTTTTTGTTTTTTTAGAAGGATGCTCCGCCAAGCGACACCCAAAACCTCGGAGCAGCTCGTGCAGCGTTGCATAGCTTTATCCATCTGGGAATTAGGCTCCATCATTCCAGAATGTCAGTCTCAAATGGGACCAGATGGTAGTAGGAGAGGTTGGTGACGTACGCCTCGGTGTCCTCATCGCACACATCTGCTTCCACTGGTAAGAACTCGCTCCCGTCCTCATACCTGGGAGAAGAGAGACGGATTATTCCACGGAGAAGGAACCAAGATGAGTTTAAGTTCAAAACAGAAACTCAGATCATAGCAGTGCAGCTGTTGTGAAGCAGCTCTTTCAGAGGAATTCCAGGAGGAATGTGTTCCTCCTTTGTTTCCTCCACACACCCAGGGAAGGAAGCCGGGCACAGACACACTTCCTGTGGTGCATGTGGGGGGTGACGGTGGGGGGGGGGCTTCTTCACTCAACACAGTGTTTACAGTGCATTCCAGAGCAAACACGGAAATCCTTATATATGTGGAAAATTAGGAATGTGTGCTATTCTACAAATTGGACAGCTGTGGTCTCTGGTCCTCTGGGACTAGGACATTGTTTTCTTATTGAAGGACCAATATTTTCAGTGACGGACAGAATAAAACCTCACAGATTGAATCAAACGAGTCGACACAAGGCCGCTCTGAAAAGTGGTGGATATTTTATGGGACTGATCGAAAAAATTTGGACTAAAATCAATGTAAACTTTCAGACTCTGGTATCAAACATTTGTCCTAATCTGTCACAGTACCACAACACCTGACAGGTTTACACAACTGCTGGAAAAGTATAGATAAGAGTAGCACTATCTGTCAATACTCTGTTGGTTAGTAATATTAGATATCAATAGTTATTAATAGTTAGTGAGAGTTACTCATAGTTAATACTGACGTGTGCTCCACGGAGTCGGTGGACGACGGTCTCTCCTTCTCTTCAGGGATGTTGTCGTCAAATACAATGGTTTCTGTGTTGGCCAGACAGAAACCGTTGGATCTCATGATTTCTAAAAAAAAAAAAAAAGCACACAGTACAACATGACATCATCGGTCTGACATTCAAGATGACATCATGTCGCCGTGGCAGCTGACCCCAAACTCTGAGTTGGAACAAACAGATAAGACCCTGAGTATGTGTACTGACCCGATATCTTGATCGGATTCTGAAAACAGGGCTGGATTCTGTGGACCTTGTCGTTCCTCAGCACCTGGTCCAGAGGCGATCGTTCAAAGAAGGTCAACATGACCTCTGACCTGGAATACTGCACGGAGAAGCGTTTTAGTGGAATTGACTGAAAGTTTACAAAACAAAGCTCACATCAGATGACAGGCATCTGGTCACATGATCACGGACTGACCGTCGTGACCTGGAGGACGTACCTTGCAGGGCATGTTGATAGCGTTCTTCAGCAGCCGCTCCACTTCGTTCAGTTTCTCCTCGATGTCATTGGCCTCTTTGATTTTCACCAGCCCTGAAATAAATTCAATTTAAAAATGTTTTTTGTTTTCAAAACAGAAGCTGTAATTATCACTCAAAGCCCAACCATTATGTGTATAATTGTATATAATTATGCAATTTGCCAATTACTGTGTACACTGACGATCCACTGCTTTTTTTTTCAGCTATGACGCGTTGCCATGACGTGTTGACGTTTCCCACAATTGTTCTTTTGCACCAGAGGTTACATTACAAGTAATTAACTTTTCAACACGCGCCCTATTTGAAATGAGGTTTATGATAAATGACATGTCAAAATAATTTCGTACTTAGCGCTAATTAATTATACTTAATGAGTTGTCTTTTGTCACAAACAGGTCGAGTGGTGGTGAAACAGAACTGCAGCCACTCTGTCAATTATACATGTAATGCACAGCTATAACAGAGATGTTATATACAACGCAAATAAAATTAGGCCTGGAATATATTTAACATGTAACCTAAAGTACAGACTTTACAATGCTGAAACACAGCAAATATTACTGAAAAAGTGACCGAATTACTGTCTAAAATTAATAAAAATAAATGAATAGCACCTACTAATTAAAAGAAAAATAGGTTCATTTGTATGAAGCATCAAGAAAAAATAGAAAATACATTTAGAAACACATAAAACAAAACAGGCTGTAGAATTATAACAACTAGTAAAAACTGTAGATTTACAATAAGGGTTCTTATGTATGAGTAAAACCTCCATTTATCACTGTCCACTCAGTATCCAGATGTCTGCGTTGACCTTGGAAGCAGGCTAATGGCGAAGTTAGCATTTAGCCAGTAGCATTGTGTTTACGTACACACTTATCTCTGTACCGTGAGGCGCTGTGTATTTTGGACGGTATTAAACTGAATAGTGTTTTCTTAATGACCTGCCCAGTCCAGTTCACGGCTGATAATAAGGGGCGGCAGCAGCGCTGACCTTTATAGCCGTTAGCATATTCTCTCGCCATAGGTCACAGCACACAAAGGCAGACTGGGCTGAGTTTATTTATCTTCTGTCTGAAAATACGCCGCTGTACACGCAGGAGAAAATGAGATTGTCCGCTCCGCCGCAGTTACCTTCTGATAACAATGATCTTCGACAGGGATAGAAGTTAGCTTAAAGGGCAGAATGCCCTTGAAATGCTAACAGTAGATGTTTTGAATGTTCCAGGTAATGTTTAAACTTAATCAAGATTTATTGTTGTTACATTTTTAAAGACAGAAGCCAAAGGTCACCAAAGGTTTTTGGTCCAGATTTAATAATTGAAATACAAAAACATCACCAAAAGATTAGACTTATTTCATGCTGAAGTTAGCATACGTGTGCTAAACAGACTAGTACTTGTTATTCACGTGCTACTGGAGGTGAAGCATCAGCCTGTGTGAGTCAGCATCCAACGCAGCGTCATTTACGGCCAGGATGGTAAAAAAAAGAAAAAGTGATGAAGAGGAGTATGAGGCGGAGGAAGACAACCATGGAAATCAACTGTAAGTTGGAAGAACTGAGTGCAGGCCTCAGGATCAGGATCATGACTTCATGTGTACAGTCATAAGCCCATGCATTTATAATGGCCTACAGTGATGACATCAGACCCAGGGCCATGTGAAAAGAGGTAATAGAATACTGTAAGTTATGGTCAATCAGGTCAATCAGAAGATCATTGGTTATAATGATCATTTACAGACAATAGCTAAAACATATTCAGCTCCTCAGACAATAATGTCACTCTGATTCTGAAGCCTGATTTCTGTGCCATAACAGGAAGACGGTCTAAAATCACTCTGACTTGTTGACGGTCCCTGGGCCTGTATGAAAAAGTTCAATCTGATTGATGGATCATAAAAGAAGGACACTCCCTAAACATCTTAACTATATTCAAAAAATATACATTTTCAAAATTTTATTGTATTTCACTTATTGTGTGGTACAAAGATGACGGCCCCTAAGCCTCACTGAGGTACTGCAAATGAGGATGATCCCTAAATCCTTGTTCTCCACTGTCAGCCACAAACTTTACGGCAGCTTAAACATGAGCTCAAAATGATGTTGTTGTGGATGACACACACACACACACACACATGCTGACAACTGAAAACACATGTTGGTTTGACGTGACTCACCTCCTCCACTAATTAAATTCAAACCGCACCTCCTGTCTGAAGGTGGCGCACTGTGATTCAACATAATCCAAACAAACAAACAACGTAAATAAAGGCAGAAGAACTCTGCACTTTCGACCAGGGATCTTCAGTGGTCTCAGGAGTCGTCGTCGTTGTGTGATAAATATTTAATCGTCAATTTCACTGATGATCATCCAGGAGGATTATTCTGCAGAAAACACACTTTTAACCCCACTAAACCATTAGCAACGTCTCTGCTACGATGCTCCGACCTATTAGAAGAATCACAACATGGACATCATTTATTTATTTCTCCACCTGCTGCTCCGCTGTCATCACCCATGACAAGAACCCAACGATTAGTTCTTCATTAACACGTCAGAGCTGGGAAAACACCGCATTAGCCCAAATAACTGTCAACTGTAAATGTGTCGACAACAGAGCTGTTCACACACACACACACACACACACATTATCAGTGCAGTCATCAGACGTCGTGCAGAAACTATTTCACAACTGTTCTCTGCAGAGATCTGATAAAATCGCAGGAGACTCAAACTCACTGACGTGTATGTGCTGGGTGATCGTATCCACCACGACAACGAGCCAAAACATCAGCACGACAGAGAGTACGTGAATAAGAGAATATTCCAAAACTTCTGTGAATATTTTCATACCTCAACTTTTCAGCTAAAGTTTAACTAAATCTGTACAAACTGTCATTTTAAAGGAAACGTTTGACATTTTTGTATGAAATATGATTTTTAGCTTAAGTTTAATTAAATCTGCACAAACTGTCATTATAAAAGAAACGTTTGACATTTTTGTATGAAATAATGTTTATTATGTTAGATATAGAGAGCTGCCAACAGTAACTGAGTAAATGTTAGACCATTTGGACTTCATTTTGGACTGAAAATATTTAGGATATTATTAATATTACATCAAATTTATCTAACTTACAAAATTAACTCATTTGTTTTTAAAATTTCAGAATTTCTTTTTAAATTTTAGTCAATGTTTTTAAACTGATAACTACGTACTAATACTTGACTAATTATTATTCTGTTTTTTAATTTGATAGTATTTAAATATTGTTAAACTTCATAGCTCTAAGCTAAGCTACGGCTCTGTCTATAAGAGCATGACAGAAGACAAGAAAGGTTGTAGTTCGGAGTGGGAGTGATGATTTTTCCTTTGAATTATGTCTAAATGAATAACACCATGACTAAGATACAGGACGACTGCTGACTGATAACCACTGGGAGTGGAGAATAATTAAATAAACCTGTGGGAATGATCTGATCCACGATCCGGATCTACATTCCTCACACTGAGGGACTCCTTCCCCTCTACTCTCTCTGTGTTCACTCAGAGGTCACATGTATCCTGTACCTAAGTGTTAAAAGGCCTCCGCAGCCCAGAGGGACTAAATATGGGAAGTCCACTTCCCTCCTCCCAGTCGTCGTCTCATCATGACATAAGTCTGAGGCCTGTTGCCTGGGTGAAGCACCCACAGAGGAAAACACGACCCGAGCAGGGACAGAAACAGAGCTTCAGTATGTTTGGACTTTAAACCGAGGAGGCAATTACACGGAGATGCAAATGAAATATTGGTCAGTGATGGGAGAGAAGAGAAGGGACGGTTAGGGAGCGTCAATAACCAACCAGACTGAAAGGGAGAAATAAACACTGGCTGAGTTTACTGGGATGAGAATGTGGCAGGCAGAAGTGAACACTGAGTCATGAGCTCTGAAATGTCTTTTCCCAAAATGCACTTCACCGCTGTCCTGGCAGAGGCAGAGTTCAGCGAGGCTGTCAAACAACGTGTTAGCTATTTCTGTGAGGGAGGCGAAGCTCTCCAGTCGCCTCGAACGCCATGTTTCCAAAACATTCATGTAGGATCAGTGTGACGAGACAGAAAAGAGCAGAGAACAAGCGTTTACAGCTGCCAGGCACTGTGGCAAGGCAGGGCAGGGTGTCGGATCCCAGCTGAGAGCAGCACAGGACCATGATGAACACTGTAAAACAATAAACCTGCGTCTATAGGACTGTAGGAAGAAAACGTGTGACATTAGCAACCTTTAATGACCTGTGAATGTATTAATCCTACCTTAGTACCAGTGGCTCCAAACACTTTTATTAAAATTATTAAAACATACAGATCCTTACCCTAACATTTGAAAGAGACATTTCTGGGATAACTGTTAGCAATTTTGGCGAACTTTGTCAATGTTTTGGCTAAGATTGAAGCAAATTTTACTACTTTTTATTTGGCTTTTGAGAGTCTGTGGTTGTTTCTTAAATTTAACACTTTTTAAAAAAAAAACTTTCGCTATATTTTTGGCAACCTTTTAGCTTTCAATTTAGCATCAATGTCTTGGGCTAGGTGCTTAATTGAGTTCTTTTAACTTTTAATTTGTTTTCTATCGGTTGTTTTTGTAAAATTACAAATTTTATATACTGTATTTTTCCCCCCCGCACAAACAGAGCACCTGCTTTGGTCATTTTTGGACGTCTCTAATCCTCAGCCTTTGATCGACGTCTTGACTCACAAGTGAATGTTTTTCCTCTGACCATCAGGTGATAACTGTCCAGACGTCTGTGATTTAGGAGACGTTTCCACATAAAAGTCAGTTGTTTTTTTTCTGTTCTGATATTTTCCCATGGATCTAAATAAAGAGAGGTGAACTGCAGTTTCTATTTAGGTCTTAAATATTCACCCAGGCTGTCAGCAGCATGTTGACCTCGTGGTCGTCAGGTTGTGTGACGGCCAACGTAACGACCCAGAGTGGACCCGGTTAATGGTTAAACTGTCCAAACAAACACATTAACAGCACTTTAGTTCAAATTCCGTTCTGTTTTGGGTCGTTTTGATGAAGTTTTTCTTAGTTGATTTCCATCGTCTACATACAAACATTGACATCCCCATCGCTGACATCTACATAAAACTAAAAACTGATGAGATCACGGCTGAAGAACTCCCCACAGACGTACATTGAGAAAAGTTTCCTCCTCTGTGCAGCTGTTCTGACTGCAATCCACCAAAGTTTTGAGGCAAAAAGAACAACCATAACAACAGCTGCCGGGGCATCTGAGGCGGGACGTAAACAGGAAGGTTGTTATTTTGGGGTAGGCAGCAAAGTTTTGCCCCCCCAGAATGAACTGTTTGTGAAAACTCTGATCAAAGAGATGCTACAGTGAACCAACGTTAGCGGACATGGAAAGTTGTTTTTTTTTTTTTTGCTCAGTTACACAAACTTGTGTCTCGTTTGCATCACTTGCACGTTGACATTCTGTTGATTCCAAAATCCTATCAGGAGACCAAAATGTTGGACCCAACACCGTTCTTCGTCACCACTTCTCAGAGCCAGATTAAGAAATGTTGGTTTCTCAACTGCAAACCTGGGACCATTTCCATTTTACTAAACCACATTTGGAACCACTAGGTTCCTTAAAACGGTTTAGAACCGGATAATGTTTTTATATATATTTCTTAGAACGTGATTCATGAAGACACAGCCTCTAAATTAATTTGATTTGTTTTTCTAATTGATTTCCACTACTAAATTGTTCTCCAGGGAGAACCTCATGTGCAATAGGCCCCAAGAGTTCTTGCTACACCCCTGTTAGTTTGGACTCCCTTCGTGGACTGACCTTCTAAGAGCGGGGACTTGCTCAGGTCCCTTCTGTCCTCAGGAAAGGACTCCAGCAGTCTCTTTAAGAGTCGACCCAGGTCGGAGTAACTCCTGTGCAGGTAGAGGATGTTCCTGTCCGACCACTCGGTCCTGATCTCGAAGAACTCCTCTTCCTCCCCTCTCTGGCTGATGACGAGTCTCCGGACCCCGTTGACCCAGCAGTCCCGGACAAACATGTTGACCAGCGACGTGCCCTCGAACACGGCCGATGCCATCACTCAGTGTCCAGGAGGAGCGGCAGCAGCATCGGCATGCTGCGCCCCCGACGTCCGGGTGGATGGAGCAGTGGGGACGGTGGCACAGGAGCCAGAACACAGATTTAAATGTTGGGGAGAAGAGTCCGAGAACTTTTCGGCGACTGATCCTTGAGCTCCAGCTGCGGAGGAGGCTGATCTGTGCTGAACGCTCAGCCCATCACATGCGTAATCTCAACGTGGCATCATTTAGATCAAGAAAAAACACAAGAGTCTTTAAGGAGATAACGCCCCTTAAAAATCGATCCCAGTGAGTTGTCTGACTCCTTGCGACCATTCCCAGGATGACCACCAGGTGATTTAAAGAGAAATCACTGAAAACTGCTGCCAGTGTCAAACTTCAAGTCGCTCCAGTCCCGACTTGACTCCCATCCAAAACCACCGCGTTCCACTCCACACTGACTGGGATCGGGCAGTTGCTTTTCTTCCTGCCCAGTTTCCTCCCCTCTCCTCTCTCTCTCCTCCCTCCTCCCCTCTTCCTTCCTCCTTGACAACAGAGTATTATTATGCAAAGCCAGCACGGGGGCTGCAAAAGCAGAACTGTTCATTTCAGTGTAGTTAAAAACAACAGTTTAGTCCAGAGCTCCCCGGCCTTCACAGGGTTGGAGAATCCAGGAAAGATTTCAAATCCACAAATGTGTAAAGTTACCAGAAGAAAACTGGTGGAAGAAATTAGGAACTTTTTTTTCCTGAGCTGTGGCTGATCTGAACCAGATAAATAATACACAAAAGAAAAAGTACACTTTTTAGTTTACTTGGTCAACTGAATTATTGTTGTTTTTAGGTTCATTCCGTTACAAATGATAGTATTTAGATTCTGTGAAGAAACCGCTTAGAAAACAAACTCAAGCAACGGTCAAACAACTTACTAATCTGTTAGCTTTTTCCATGTCACTGAAACATTTGCACGTTTTGCAGTTTCTGACCTCACAAAAACTGCTGCTTTGGCCAAACCTTACCCACAGTTTTAAAAAAGAGCAGAAAGAAAAGTGAGGGTGAGAAATAGATGTGCTGCTGAAAACCATTTGTCTTCTGTCACGGTGACCAAAAAGAAGGAACAGATTCACGATGCTCCGCTCCACTGAACGGAACATTAATGTGTCACTGAGCTGCAGAGCCCGGTACAGGAGCCGTACAGGAAGCCACGGTGAAGTGAAGTGAATACGACGCAGCTGCCGACTCTTTAACTACTGCTGGGTGGAAAAGTCAGCGTCCGCAGAAAGCTGTCGTGAAAGCAGTTTGTATAAATACAGAAGAAAGAATAGAGGAAGTATCACTATTTACTGTTGCATGTCTGATGAAGAGTGTTTTTAACAAGAACCATTGTAGGTTTGAAGGTCTTTTTTTTTTTTTTTTGCAGTTTTTTGGTCTTAGGTTTGGGTTGCAGCATCCTATTCCTTGTGTTGATGCAAAGGCAGATTTTCTTTCAGCATTTACATTTGTTATATTTGTACTATTATGTAATTAATTCTGACATCAATTTATTGCATCGAAGAATGCACCCATAGACATTTGTGTTTTGCACATTTTTTTATAATATGTAATGAATTCTGTAAATTTTGACATTATTGCATCAAAGAATGAATGTACAGACATTTGTGTTTTGCACATTTTTTTTGCACATCTCTTTAATAATCATGTTCCGTTCACCCAACATCAGATGGTGCAATTTGTGCAGCACCTTCCATTATTATGCTACGTACCATTACAGCAGTAGAAATGACACAGTGGGTAGAAAATGACTGTGCTGCTCAGTCAGCCACAAGCTGCTAAGATCAACGGCTGAAGGTGGAAGTGTCATGATGGGGCTGAGGTGAGAGAAGCTGAATCATGGGGAGAAAAAAAAAAAAACGACCAAAGTCATCGACGAACAAGTCTAGTGAGGATTCCAGGGTCGGAAGGTCAAGTCATTCCAAGTCACTCAGTGTTTTAGTCAGATCCAAGTTGAAGTCAACAGAGAAAGTTTAAATCTAGTCCAGGTTTAGTCTCTGGAGTTACAAGTCTGAATGAGAGTCTTTTAATAGATTCCAAGTCTATATTACATTACAGTTCAAGTCCCTCAGGTTTAAGAACATCCCCAAGTCAGGTCTTGATATATGTGCCATTTAGTTTTAGTTCACAGTCATTTGGCCCTTGTGTTTGACCTGACAAGGTCAGGTCTTGATATATGTGCCATTTGGCCCTTGTGTTTGACCTGACAAACTGATTCATGTTTGGAAAATGAAATAAAAATCCTCAGAAAGACTATGTTGGAGGAGACGGAGGTCTCTGATCCAGATCTGGAATCCGACAGGTGTGAAAAGGTGGAGATTTGCCGTGTTGGATACAAAGAAAAAGACCTAAGAAATGATTCGAGGATGGAGTGAAGACGTGAAGATGGTTAGTGAAGCCGTAGGGGAGGAATACAGTGAACCGGAGGCTGGTGATTTGCTGTGGTCAGGTCAGGATGGAACAACCGCTCCTATTAAAAAAAAACATTTTCCAGCGTTCTTGAAACTCAATACTTTGTTCCATCAACACAGGAATGTGTATAGATCGTAGGAAAATGGATTCAGTTCAACTTCGTTTATTCATCAATGGTGAAATAATAGTCATCACGCTGCAGTGTTATCAGAACATCCCTTGTTTGGTCACAGGAGCCGTCGTTTCTCCTGCGGAGGTTCAATCTGTGGTTGGGCCACATCGACGGCGTCAGCACATTCTGCCTCTGTACCTCATTCCACTCCAGTTCCTTCTGAAACAGTAAACTTCAGATGGAAAACGCAGACCAGAGACTTTCTCATTCTTTAGGCTCAGAATTCTAAACACACTTGTGTCCCATTAAAACAGAAGCCACTGCCAGAACTCTGCTTTTGGCTCCGCTTCCACGCAGAAAGCTGGATGAAATGTTTGGAAACGGTTAGCCGAGGAAATAAATATGAAAGTCAAGGACGGAGCCACTGCTAGTGGGTTCTTCAAAATCTACACACAATTTGGGATTTGCACATAATTTAGGGATTAGTTTAGGAAAATCACTCGGATTTGTGTTGGATTAACGTTGGTTTAATGCATGAGGCCGGGGATTGAACACAAAATAAAGAATTCCAGTCGAACACGTTTCTTCAGATGGATGTGGCATCAGTCCTTGGTGCTGGTTGTCACTTTTGATGTCGACTGCTGCAGTTTATCACTAAAATAAACATTTGTTTTCAAGCACGGTGGAAAACGTTTTCCGCAGCTTCTGTGGTCTAATTTCTCAGTCTGCCACACCCGGAGTTCACTGTAATCACGCTGCATATCATTGAAAAGAGATGTTTAGGAACTTCTCATTAGAATACTTCTCAATACCCACCACCTAGGCCGTGAACCAGAGGTTTGAGAGCTCCACCTTATTTCACGCTTCATTTTCCAATCTCAGATGTGTCCATATGTTCACACGCTGGTCTCTAAAGCAAATCTGCTCAAAAAGAGCAAACCCTCATGATGATGAACACATCTGTCACAGGATTAAAAAAAAAAAAAAACATCTGTCCTGACAGAAGCAGGCGTTCCTTTTTTTTATGGAGCAGCATTGTCAGCCGTGCCACGGCTTCTCTCTGACGAGTGACTCTGGGCCATAACTCTGTCCTCGTCTGTGCCACGAGACAAAAACACTGGGGAGAGTGCCTGGGGCCGGGGTGACGGTGGGTTGGGAGTGGATTTAACGGGCTCTATAATGGACTGTGGTCGTCTTCGGTGTAGCATCTGTTGGACGAGATGCTTTATGGCCAGGTTGTTATTGTGTCTGCAGTGACGTTTGAAAAAAGTGGAGCCTCTGAGAGTCAAGGCAGTCAGTTTGATGGCTGTTGGCTCACAAAGGAAATTCAAGGTCCAGCTCCAGAGTTTGTCCATCAGATCTGCGGCACAGGGATGTCAAAAAATCTTGGAGAGCTCCAGCTGAAATATTTTCCTTAAATAAAGAGACAACAATGTCTTCAGAAATCTTGGAGAGTTCCAGCTGAAATATTTTCCTTTTCCCCTTTTTTCTTAAATAAAGAGACAACAATGTCTTCACCATGAATAACCCTGTGAATTGTTGTCACTTTCTGGACATATTTGGAGTTTTTACTAAGCTATTGGCCGAATAGGAACCATAAAAATAACTTCAAGTATGTGTACAACACAAACCTAATTGTTAGCTGAAAATGCTACATGTGAGCCAAAATATAATGTAGATGAAAGGCACTATTACATGTGCCATGACAACATGTTGGAACAAGGATGTCAGGATGTCTTTGAGAATATCAACATTAAAGACGGGGTCCATTCAATGTCTTCATTACTTTAACACTGATGTGAATAAACACCCACAGGTGTCTAACAATAATAGGATTTACAGCTTCATATAAAAGTGTCAGGGCGTGGATAATAAGCTCCTGCTTTCTTTTCATCCTTGAACATCAAGTCATAAGATGCGCTAAGAACCCAGAACATTCTCACTGCAAAGGCAAGCAGCTATTGACAAGAGCACTTAATCCACGTGATGCTTTTGTGATGTAGGTTTAAATAAATAAAAAGTCCTGCAGAAAAACATTCTTTAAAAATGGACTAAACTAAAATTCTAACATTCTGAAAGGAAATTGTTATTGCGTGTTTCCAGACTATTAATAATATATATTATTAATTATATATTGATAAATATTTTTCTTTATTCCTTTAACTTGTTTGTGTAGATATTGAGGCCAAAATTGGTTGCAATAATTATTTTAAAATTAATGACAACTTAAGGCAGTGTGGACGAAATAACAAGGACGTGTGTGTGTTTCTCCGTCAGTTTTGCAAAACGTAAACAACAATGCGAACCCTTCGTTAAGTTTGATCCCACGTGGCCTCCACTAAGGTCAGACTGAAAGCAGAAAACGACGCAATCGCAACACCTAGTGAATAAAAAACCACGTTGTTGCGGCAGTGCGCTTCCGACACAACAGGGGGCGTGCCAGTGCTCTGCTATCGGTGCACTTTTTTGTCGAAAAAGAGTTGGGCCCCGAGCTAAGGAAAATGGCGGATATAGAGATGGACATCACGTCCAGAAGAATGAATAATGGCAACGAACACGTGTAAGTAAATTATTTTAAGATTACGTTTTTATATGTACCATACATTTCTGTGCTTAATAAGTGAAAGTAAAGTCTTACCGGTAGTTGGAATATTGGAGGTTAAACTGACGGGACGATTCACGTTGTTGCCGGGGCTAAAATGCTCATCAACGGCTAATGCTAATGTTCTGAGCTAAATAGCTAGTTTTTCGCTGCATCGTTTGAAGTTAACCAAAATCTGCTGCACCTTAGCGAATATGCTGTGACTTACATTTCACATAAAAACTTCCAGATTATACTGAACAACACTGACGTAAAGTTTTCAATATCTCCTATTCTTAATCTGGCGTTAGCATCTCGAAAAGCTACGGGTATATTTTGCCTGTTAGCTTCAAGTTCACAGCGCTACCGAACGACAAACGCTACTGCTGGTCGAGTTCAGAGGGCAAAACAATATCACCTGACCATGTGTGCAAAGTTTGTCATCTTAAAAGTAAATCTTATTATTTCCTTTTTTGCTTGCTAAGATACGTGATCTAGTAGTGCTAAAACGTCCCAACGTGATTGAAGTGCGACCCTTAGTGTGTTTGTCATCTGCTAACTGCTGTAAAGTATTTGTTGTAGTGGCGTTAAGAAGCAACAAACCTATACTTTATACGCAGGGCTGTAGCTGAAACAAGTTTTTCAACTTTCAACTCTATCCTGGTTAGGAGCGGTTGGAACCAATTTTAAATATGCGTGTGAACTTGCAGTCCCAGTTAAATAAAATCCGAAAACCGAAAAAAGTCGGTAGATAGACCTGCGTTACCAGACAAAGGGTAGCGAGGAGCCATTTAGTGGTTTCTCTATTTACACATGGTTGTGCCTAGGAATTTTAGAGTTGGTTTTAAATTCAGATTTGGTCAAGTCTTGTGATTTATAGCTTAATAAAGTTGTCGCCATGTGTTCTCTATTTTCTCCAAAACTATGGCAAATGTATCCACTCTGTGTCTGTGGGATTTGAAAAATAAAAACCTAGTTAAAAATGGTTATTTGTCAAATTAAATTATCCTCTTGCTGATGAGAAACTGTGGTGTACAGCAACAGTTTGTAAATAAGTAATAAATAATTCTGTTACAATAACTGGTTGCTGCATTTTGACCTTTTACCATTAAGATCTACACATAAAGATTGGTCAGTTATTTAGGCTAGAAAATGATGTTGCTTGATTATATAACATGTTTTTTTTAATTATTTTTGCTAACATTGAGTGTTGTTCTGTCATACAGGAAACAGGATCTGGAAAGCCATGAACCAAGTGGGAATGAAGACAGTGGGGATATGTCTGAGGAAGAAGAGGAGGAAGAGGTAGATCTTACAAACAGTTTGCACTTTGTTGTTAATGAAGGGAATAATTGTATTTGTAGTTTATATTGAACAGAAATACTTTTTGTGAAACATCTGTTTTTATAATGAACTACAAATACTGATCTGGCCCATCAATGGTGGCAGCTGCAGATGGAACCCTGCTATAGTATGATGCTGTCATCGTGGCCTAAATTTCACAATAACATTTCTGGATGTTTTGTAGCTTGAAGATGGGTTAAAGCTAGTTTCTTGTAAATAGTTACTTAGAGAAATTTGATTTTATGATAGTTGAACACATGTAGTGCTTTCTATGCTGATCTGTGGTCTTGTCTTAGGAGGAACCAGAAACTAACGGCCCGAAAACAGAGGAGGTCTCCAAACATCACAGCAGTGGTGGCAAACACAAAAGGAAAAAACACAAGCATCGCAGCAAGCACAAAAAACACAAACACGCCTCAGACGAAGACAAGGAGCGCAAACGGAGACATCGCCACAAACATAGGAAACACAAGCGCAAAGAGGGCTCGTCGCCCGCTGGTCCCGGCCTCTTTCCCGCCTCTGGTCGAAAAGTTGAATCCTCTCCTTCCTCTGGAAATCCAAGTCTGGATGACCGGGCACTGCTGGAGGACTTGGAGAAACAGAGGGCCATGATCAAAGCTGAGCTGGACAGTCAGTTAATGGAAGGCAAGGTCCAGTCTGGCATGGGTTTGATCCTTCAGGGTTATAACTCCGGGTCAGAAGAGGATGGAGATTTAAGGGTACGTAATGGAGAGCAGCGTCAACGAGGTAGTTCAGGAAAACCCATATCTCCCAGAGCAGGAAAAGTTAATTGAG